GGGTGTGGGGTCGGCTGCACATGGGCTGTGGGGGTCAGCTGCACATGGGGTGTGAGGTCAGCTGCACATGGAGTGTGGGGTCAGCTGCACATGGGCTGTGGGGGTCAGCTGCACATGGGCTGTGGGGTCAGCTGCACATGGGGAGTGGGGGTCAGCTACAGGTGGAGTGTGGGGGCCAGCTGCAGGTGGGATGCCTGGACCAAGGGTGGGAGCACGTGCTTGACTGTTTCTGTGTTCCCACAAAACAAGAACCCAAATCTAAGGTGGGATAAGAAGATGAGATGAGAAGGCGTGAGAGAATGTCCAGGACAGCTGGAGCAGGGACGAGCTGGGCAAGGAAGCCAGCCTGCTAGGAGGAGCTGAAGTGAAGGCCGTGGACTCAAGGGAGTGATGTGCTCGTGGTGGCTGTTTCTCCAGCCGCGTTCCTCATTACCCAGGCGGGTGCAGACAGGGTGGGGAGAACTGGATGCCACAGGGTTGTTCTGCCAGGTAAGTGTGATGGGGTGGGGAGTGGGGCGGGGGGGGGGAGTTGCAAGATTTACTCTGGTAAAGAAGGAAGATGGACCTGAGAACATGAACAGAGGACTGGAGCTGCTGATCAAGGCAAAAATGCTGGGTTAGGGACCCCCTGCAAGTGAGATGGGAAGGCGGGAGGAAGCAGCCAGAGAGTGATGTTTGAAATTCACAGGAAAGAGGGGTGTCATTATCGGTGAGGACTAGCCTAGTGAGGTCCGTGGTCCCCTACCCTGGCCAGAGGTCAGAATTACTGGAGATAATTTTGAAAATCCCAAAGCATGAACGACACCCTCTCTCTGAGGGCAGGACCCATGTGTCAGCATTGTTTAAAGCGCCTCCGGGGTTTAATGCATGATTATGGAGGTGAAGGGCTGAGGTCAGTGGAGGACAAAGCTGAACGAGAAAGCACGGAACCGAGACGTCGGGTGCTCAAAGGACCATCACCTGACTAAGCAGAGGCTGTGAGCAGGAGCTAGATGTGTGCAGAACAACGGCGGTCATCCCGGGGGACTGTCGCCGACACCAACAAAGCAGGTTAGTACATGATCGTGATCGACGGGGACCACGAGCCTCAAGAATGGGGGCTTCGGGTGGGGGGGGATGGCTCTGGGAGCAGCAGGGAGGAGCAAAGAGGAGAGGCAGCTGACAGCCCCGCTTGGGGGCTGCAGGATGAGGCACGTGCTCAGTGAGGACCTGGGCTCTGGTCAGAGCAAGGAAAGGAGAGTGTTCAGAGGCTGAGATGGAAGGCTTCCACGCAGGCCAGACGGCAAGCGCCTAGGGGCCCAGAGGAAGGATGCGCAGGAGCGGGGCACAGGGTCAGCCTCACGGGCCCGGGGACGACCTGGGTGTCTGCACCCTGTGTGAGGCGGGCGATGGCTCCAGAGGATCACGCGCGCAGTACACTGAGCACAGGGCCCGTCCCCACAAAGGCAGCCACCAGTCTGCTCGCTACGGCCTCCCCCAGTTGACCCTGGACCCACCCAGCCTGTCCTGGGACCCAAAGGAAGTTACCCAGAAGGCCTGGAAGTGGCAGGTCTCCAGCAGGTCTCCAAGGTACAAAATCTGTCGGATCGGCCGCTCTTCTTGCTGGGAGGAGGGAGCATTAAGGAAAAATGGCCTCGGAGCCTGAGGAGGCTGGTGCTGGGTCCTACATCAGCCCTCCCCACCCACCCTTTCTTCCAAAGGCCCAGCTCAGAAGAACTGGAAAACGAACCCCTCGTTTCTCCTGTGGACACATACAGGAGGGTGCCTGCCACGTCACTGTAACGGCAAAACATGAGAGACAGCCTAAGGGTCCAAGGAGGAGAACGATGCACCGAACTATGGCACGTCCGCACACTGAGATCGAGTCGACTCCCAGCGCCGACACGGGGAACCTCACGGGACTCCGAGTGACGTGAAAAAAGCAGGATACAGATAACGTGCCTCACGTCCTACCGTTTGGGTGGGGGAAAGACGTGCGTGTAGACACACAATCGTATTTACGTATCTACAGAATATCCGCGGATCGGTACCCGAGAACTGCAAACAACTATTGCCTCCTGGGAATGGTGTGTGGCAGCTGTGGGGAAGTGCAAGGAGAAAGCCTTGCCTTTTCACTGCATACTCCTCCGTACTTTTTCTGGTACTCTCTTGGACTTTTTAAATTGTGTACCACGTGCCTTTGTTTTTTAAAGCCATCGGGACGGACTCCTGTCCCCTGCCTGACCCCCAGTCAGAACCACTGTCCTCTCCCGCCTCTTGCCTGGCGGTTCCTTCTCCGCTGGGAACCCTCAGGGGGAACTGTCTGAAGTGTCATCTACCTGTATCACTGAGCTTTAAAGCATTCTGTGGCTTCCCAGCGCCCTGTTTAAGCCTGACTGCATTCCACTTTGAAATCTATGGCGAGGCTATGCTGAACTTCCCTCACCGTCTCTAAAAGATGGCACTAAGCTGTTCTTTCCCTCCAGGCCTACATGCTGCTCCATCTGCCTGGATCGTCCTTTCTGAGCTCTTCACCTAACTCGTCTTTCAGATGTTCCCTCCTCCAGGAAGCTTCCCCTAACCTCCAGGCAGGGTCAGGCGCCTTCTTTGGCTCCCCAGCCCTGACCACTCTGGGCTGTACCTGACAGAGACCTGCCTGTTTCTGCCAGTGGACTGTGGGCTACAGGAGGGCAGGGCCTGGCCCAGAGCAGGCACTCAGTGTTTGTGGACGAAGCCAGAGGCCACGTCCCTGTGAGTTCACCAACACCCGCCTCCCCGGCAGACCCTGGCCCTGGAGCTGGAAGGATACGTGCGCTTGGTCAATCATACACTTGCACAGTGTGAAGTCAGTGTGGGGCAGGTTGGTGAGGGCCTTCAGCAGGATCTGTGCAGTGACCGTGGTCTGGAAGAAGGCTGGGTTGAACTGGTACCTGAGAAGGGGAATAACAGACCCAGCAACAGCTGCACCTCCAGGTCCCCGAGCTGCACCAGGTGCCCAGCAGGTTGCCCACTGCTTTGGCCACATCAGGCTCTGGAGGTTGGGAGGTGGACACGTCTGGGCTCCGATCCCAACCACAACATTCTGTGGCTGCGTAACCTTCATCTTCCTGAGGCTCACTCTCCTGCTCTGCAGATGGGGACAGTTAATCCTCACAATCGCCCAAGGAGGCAGACAGTGTTCTAAGTGATCTGCATACGTTAAAGCATATGAGAAGTATCTGGCGCAGTGGTTAAGGATCTGAGGCCAGACTGCCTGGGTTTAAACTTTCCTGCCGGGTGACGTTGGACTACGTATTTTAAATTCTCTGTGCCTCGGTTTCCTCCCGTGCAAATGGGGACAATGATAACCATACCTACTCCACAAGAACAACTGAACAATCGAGTCAGTTAATACGCATAAAGCTACACAGGGTGACTAGCACATGGTGAGCACGCGCTAAGTGGTGATCATCACCAATAACAACAGACCCACCCCGCAATTTTGAGCATTATTATCCCAGTTTTACCGATGAAAAGCCCAAGGCTGCGTAATCTGCAAAGATTTCCCAGCTGGTCATGTGTAAAGAAAGTACTTGAGAAAGGATCAACTCAAATGCCCATCAACAGGAGAAAGGAGAATTAGAACAGAGTCGCACGCCTTAAACCAACGACAATGAATGAACGAACCGAGGCTACACAAAAACTGAACGGCACTCACAGAGCCAGTGCTGAGCAGGAGATGCCAGATACAGAGGGGCTCTTGCTGCAGAACTCCATTTGTGCAAAGTTCAAGGCGGCAAACCTGAGCTGAGCCGATCAGGATGCAGGCACGTGTGCTAAACCATCACGTAAGCCTGGCCACGAGAGCGCGAGAGGGGCTGCCAAAATGGGGGAGTGAGCTGGTCGGCACAGGGCTCCTGGGACACTGGCAACATTCAGTGTTGCTGTATGGATGCTGACTACATGAGTGTTTATTCACAATTACTTGTTAAATTGCACATTCACCTTATGTACTGCTATCCTACATACCTGCTTTCAATTTGTTTTTTTAAAGCTCAACTTCCTGGTCTTGCATATCAAGAGAAGCCACATCCTGCAGGCTAACCTCCCAGTCCCACCTCATGCTGAAAGCGGCACCCTGCTGGCTGCTGGCATAGGGGTGGGGGTGGGGGGAGATACTCACAGCTTCAGGACAGCAAGATTGGCTTCCAGGTCATAGGCGTTCTCCTTGGCCTGCGTCTCCACATAGCGCTCCAGGGTGGCCAGGTTCTCAGGATTGTACCTAGAGGAGGAGCAATATGGGTGAGCAGAAAGGAGACAGGAGCTGGGCCCACTTTATGAGGCCAGGGAGCTACTGCAACCTGTTCTGCTCTGTCTTCCATCCCTTTAAATCTGGCATGGGGCACCTGCCCTGCCCCAATCTTGAATCAGCTCTATAATCTCTAATAAAATCTCTCCACATACCGGATCTCTCGCCTAAGCTCCAGTCCCACTGGAGCCCTGGGTCTTGTCCTGGATGCCTCCTCCATTTCGCAGCCTGTATACTTGGCCCCTTAAACATCTCTGCCACCCAACCCCTTCTCCTCTCCCCAAGCCTCTACCCTAGTCTAATCCCATCCTTTCCTGCCTGGGTCCCTTCCTAGCCTTCCCACTGGTCTTCCAGCTTCCTCCAGACTTCCCCTCCGCCCCACTCCATCCTCCATACAATAGCCAGAGAGGTCTTTCTAACGCACAAATATGACCATGTCCTTTTCCTGCTTAAAATCATTCCATGGCTTCCCAGTGCCCTTCCTCCATGATCTGAGTCCTTGCAATGTGGCCGGCAACACCTCTTACTCCACATTTTAGCCCAACTACAACAAATAGCTTCCAACTCCTAGGAATCACTAAGCTCATTTCCTCTCAGAGCATTTGTCCACGGTGCTTCTTCTGCCGGAAACTCCCTTCTCTTGCCCAACTCAAGTCTTCCCCTTATCTCTCTTCACCTGCCTCATTCTCACTTGTCTTTCAGGTCTTAACTTAGCCTTCACCTTCAAAAAGCGTCCCTTGACCCAGGCTAGGTCAGGTGTGTCCCGTACCTCAGACTTCCACAGCCCCCTATACTCTCCCCATTCCAGGCCGACCCCCATGCCTGTGCCTCCCCCATCCCAGCCCCGACCACTCTGCTGCCCGTGCCCCATCACAGCCTAACCCTCGCGGGCACCGCTCTGTATCGCCTCTGGAGTGGGAACTCCGTGAAAGCATGGTCTGCCGCTATCTTGGTCACCTGTAGACCTCAGCATCGCCCAGTACCGATAAGAGTAGATAGCAGTGGCTGTATGATGAATGAATGACATGAGGAGCCGAAAAGGGCGAGACCGAGGCACTGAGAAATAGTGAGAAACTGAGGGACAGAGCGGGAGACTGAGTGATAGCCAAGGTTCTCCACTGCCTCTACAGTACTCTTTCCTTCGATAGCTCCTCCTCCAGGATGAGACTTCCACACATCTAGAATGACAGAGACCCCACCCCAGGACAGCCACGGGACACTGACTATCCCTCGACGTCTCCCGGAAATCTCCTCCTCCACCCCGCTTGGTCAGAAACGTTCCCTCCAACTGGACTCAGACCTGTCGATACCCTTGAGCAACTTGCCCACGTTCGCTCTCATCTGCTCAAACACTGCCATGACTACCGATGCCTTCCACACCCTGGCTGGAGCCGCAGACCGAGCCGGCACGGTGTCCTCGAGGACCGGAAGCGGAAACAGTGAGGGAAGAAGAAATACGTCATTGTTATCACCCGACCCCGGGAGGCGACTCTTGCAGCAGCAGCAGCAGCAGCAGCCACGCTTTCCGGCTACCACGTGACTTCTTCCCAGCAGGCGCAATTGGCGCGTGCGCATTCTCTTCGTCTGAGCTCGCACAATGGAGTGAGAAAAAGCTCAGTCTACCCCAGTGCGCAGGCGCCTTCTCGGGGCGAGGAGGCGGGGCTAAGTTTTTCCCGGGCCTCGCGCGTCTAGTGACAGGACACGCGCTAGTGTGCCCGCGAACTTTCCGGGCAGGAGTCTGAGCACTAATGGCATCTACGCTCGTCCCCTTGCACGCGGCTATGAAGTCATACTTGTGCGGGAATGCACGTAGTAGCCCTTCCCTCGGGCCATGGCCAAGTCCCAAGGGGTGTGCTCTCTGAGGTTCTGCCCTCCTCCCCTTCCCCCGCCCCAGTCCTGGCCGGTGAGGCAGGATCCTGAGCTGTCTAGTTTCAAGTCCTGGACCCTGGTCCCCATCCTTTATCGCAGCTCTAAGGGTAGATGTTCACAGGGCTTGGGTGAGGGGCTCCTGGACCCCGCGGCATCTCCCCAGTCCCCATTAAGCCCCAGGCTTCGGGGCGAAGGCGAACAGCCCCGTATGTGAAATCATGAGCTATATGTATACAGACTGCACGCTGCAAGCGTGAACGCACAGGCGTGTGTGTCATGTGTTCTGAGTACTTCGGCGTTTGTGCACACAGGTATACAGACATGTGTGATGTCTGCAGATCTGCACACCCCGCAGGAGGATAACACCTAAGTGCATGTATGTACCCCGGGTGAACGGGCAATGTACACTGCGTAGCCATCTCCTCTGCAAACCTGCCACCTCCGGGTTGTGGCCAAACCCTCATGCATACAGCAGAGATTAAACTATGGTTTTTCACTCCCACCCAGAACTGGAAAGGGGCCTGCTGGGGCGCCCCCCAGGTCACAATTAAGATCGTTTGCATCTCATTTACATGCAGCCCTACACGCTAGGGGTGGAGGGGGGTCCCCTGGGTCCCGACACAAGCTGCCCCTCACAGGCCGTCAGGGCCCAAGGGACAGGGGGTGGAGCTGGCTGCACAGCCTTGTGCTGGGGCAGGAAGCGAGAGTGGGGAGGGGGGAGGCCACAGCCCGCGGAGGCAAGGCGGGTGCAGGGCGTGTAGGGAGAGAAGGAGGTGCCAGTGCTTGAGCCCTGTGGCCCTGCTGGCCCCCTGGGCTCAGGCCCAGCTCCAGCCTCCAGGGATGGACTTCGTGGATCCCGACATCTTTAATAGGGACCCCCGGGACCACTACGACCTGCTGCAGCGGCTGGGGGGCGGCACTTACGGGGAAGTTTTCAAGGTGAGGGGCCCCTTCCCCCCACCTCCCGGCTGTCTCCATCACCCTCAAAGCAGAGACCTTTGGGGTGAGGCCCAGGAAGGGAAGGGAATGCAAGAGGGCCTGGCCTTGGCTCTGGGATGCTGAGGAGGGACTCAGGCATGTGGGACCTGTCTGACTGCCAACTTCCCCTTACAAGGCTCGAGACAAGGTGACTGGGGACCTGATGGCATTGAAGATGGTGAAGATGGAGCCTGGTGAGGCGAGGACCCCGGAGCTCCCTCCCCATACCCTCACCCCCACCTCCTGGGACACTGGGGCCACCTCCCCCACAACCTCCTCTCTGCAGCGGCTTTTTCTCTCCCCCATCCCTCCTCGCAGATGACGACGTCTCCACCCTTCAGAAGGAAATCCTCATCTTGAAAACTTGCCGGCATGCCAACATCGTGGCCTACCATGGGACTTATCTCTGGTGAGGAGCCTTGGACCTGCCCTGGGACCCAGCCTAGGCCCCAACCCGGAACCAGCCCCCAACCTGATCTCTAATCCTGAAGTCTCATTTCTGAACAGAGCATCCCTAACTTGATCCCCAAATCTGGAGCCCTGTTTCTGACCAGGGTGCCTCCTAACCTGGTCCCTGATTCTGAACTCCCATTTCTGACCTGCACACCCTAACCTGACCTCTAATCTTGAACCCTCATTTCGGACTGGGGCACCGTCTAATCTGATCCCCAATCCAGAACTCCCATTTCTGACCATAGGTCCCCAAATTGATCCCTTTATAGTAACTAAATCCGAAACCTGAGTCCCGTAAAGGTAATCTCTCATCTTCCTGCCCTTTGGGTCCTCCAATTTCCTTCTCTGCTTCTTATATAAACCTCTAAGCTGCCTAACCCTCAAATGATTATTACAGATGCCCCAATAATGACCGCTATCCCGAGACCTGGCATCCTGGGCCCCTCTGTCCCTTCCCCCCCTCCCCAACCTGTGAGATGTTTGCCCAGTCTCCTAGGTTATCATAGGATGAAGAGGGTCTCCTGGGTTTGGAGCACAAAGACTTGGGTTCGAGTCTAGTTGACCCTGAAAGTACATTTCCTCTCTGAGCCTCAACTTTGCCGTCTGTGAGATGGGAATGGAAAGATCTCACTCTGGGGGGCAAGGCGAGATAGAGAGATGACAGCTGTTCCATCAGAGTGCTTGTTGAACTAGAGCAAGACAAGAAGTGGACCTGGGGCTCCTTCTTAGAAATGATAACATTACTGCTGCTGTTGCTGTTGTTGTTATCATGTTATTATTATTACTCTTGAACTGTTGTAGGCTGCAGAAGCTCTGGATCTGCATGGAATTCTGTGGGGCTGGTTCTCTCCAGGACATCTACCAAGGTGAAAGGAAGGACAAGGGGATCCTCAAATCCACCCTCCTTCTCCTGTCTCTCCCTGTCAGTCTTATTTGGGGCTCCCTGGGACAGTCTTTCTGGTCCTGTACTTCACACACTGCACCCCTCTTCTGGCCTTGGCCTGACAATGCTGGGTACATGGCAGTGGCCCAGTGAGCCCTAGATCCTGTCTCCAGGACTTGACAGCCCAGCCTGAGCCTCTCTGCCTGCAATGGCCCCCTCTCCCTCCACTCCCCATCTTTGTCTCTCCGTCTGCATTTTCTTGCCAAGGTCTATCTGTGTGGCTAAGTGTTTCTTATTTCTGCTTCACAGGAGGTGCCCACATTTTTACTGAAAATGAATTTCTGGGTCTCTCTCTCTCAGCCGGCTTTCACCCTCTCTGAGAATCTGAGAATTTGAATTTCTGATGCTCACCTCCCTGACTCCCTCCAGCCCGAACCTCAAATGTCAGAAAAGGAGAAACTTCATTAGAAGTTCTCAGAGGGGGAAACTGAGGCCCACAGAGCCAGTCTCTCAGACTTGGTCTGTCTGTCCTCTCTGTTTCTTGTCTCTCTCACTTGTTCCCTTTCCACCACTCTGTGTCTCTCTCTTTTTAAATATGTCTGTCTTGCCACATTTTGTCCATGAGCATTTCTTCCTTCCTCTCGGTCTCAGTTTGGATCTATCCGTTGTCTCTGCCTCTCTGTCTCCACATTCCCTCACTTTGCCAGATCACTTCACTTCCTTGTTCTGTCTGCAGGTCCCATTTCCCTCCAAAGAGAACTCCACGTCCTTATCATGGCCCACGGAGTCTGACCCGCCCCCAAGCTGGCTGACCTCACCTCCTACACTTTCCTTTTCCCCTAGTCAGCTCACCCACCTTCTGTTTCTCAGACTCACCAGGCACACTCCCACCTCCTGGCCTTTGCACTTGCCGTTCCCCCTTGGAGTGAGGCTACTCCCATCCCCGCCCCATGCAGCCTTCTTTGAGAAGTCTTCTCCAACCAGCCTGGGAAGGAGTTCTTAGTCTCCTCCATGTCGTATTTCCCCTTCTCTTTTCCTGTGTTGTTTTTCTTCTTACCATGTATTAACATCTCACAGACTGTTCTACTTACATAGCTTGTTTGCTATCATCTCTACCACTGGTGGAGCCCTGGTGGCGCAGTGGTTAAGAGCTCGCCTGCTAACCAAAAGGTCAGCCGTTCGAATCCACCAGCCGCTCCTTGGAAACTTCATGGGGCAGTTCTACTCTGGCCTGTAGGGTCCCTATGAGTCATTTTGGTTTTCTACCACTGGAATGTTCTCTCCAGGAGGGCAGGGAGCTCTGGTTTGCTCACAGCTGTATCCTCAGTGTTATCTACATTCCTGCCTGCGGATATTCTATAAAAATCTGCTGAATGAATCTCCATCCGTGTGTCCCTCCAGCCTCTTTGTCACCACCCTCTGTCTCCCCCTTCCCACTTGTCCCATCCTACTTCCTCCTCCCCTGGGGCACATTCCCAGTCAGTATGGGTGGGAGGCCAGGGACGCCCAGACCAAGGTTTCCTGGCTCCCCACCCAACGCTGGGCCTTGTCAACCTTTGCAGTGACAGGCCCACTGTCGGAGCTCCAGATCAGCTATGTCTGCAGAGAAGTGCTCCAGGTGAGGAGAGGTGTGGGTGGGCCTGGGTGAGGGCAGGGCCTTGCTCACACTCCCTGCCCCTGCACTCACAACTGCCTTGTCTACCCTCCTCCGCAGGGACTGGCCTATCTACACTCACAAAAGAAGATACACCGGGACATCAAGGTGGTGGACTGGCGGTGCGGTGGTGGTGCTGGGTGGTAGGGCTCCCGGGGCACATGGGTGGCACTTGGGGAGCTCAGGAAACAGGGTGGTATGGGGTGGTGGGTCCAGCGATGGGCTGGGGGGATGTCTCTGACAGCCTCTGATCCCTCCCTCCTCGCCCCCAGGGAGCCAACATCCTCATCAATGATGCTGGGGAGGTCAGACTCGGTGAGTGTGGCTGGTGGGGGCTGGTAGGGGCTGGTTCGGGGGCCTGGGTGGATGGGAGACCCCAGGTCACTCTGTCTCTCGCTCTGCCTCCAGCTGACTTTGGTATCTCGGCCCAGATCGGGGCAACGCTGGCTCGACGCCTCTCTTTCATTGGGACACCCTACTGGTGAGCAGTGCTCGGTGGGCTGCTAGGGCTGGGGTGGGGGCAGTGGCTTTTCCCGCCCTGGTTGTCTGGGAACCATCTTCCTGGCTCCTTCCCCCCGCCTCAGTCTTTCTCTGTAGAACATTCCGTCATTCTCTTTGGCTCTCTCTTGAGTTTTCCCTTT